CGCCTGGCATCAGCAGCCTCTGCACCTCCACCCGGGCCAGTGCGGCAGGAAGCCCCTCATCCAGGCACAAGGCCACCAGCCTCCAGTGGGCACTCCACGCTGCCCGGAAATGCTTCTGGGTTTCTCTAGAAAGCACTTCCCCACTCTGTCAAGACTGCTCCACACCTCTCTGCACTCCTACCCTCACTCCCCTGACGTCCTCACCTCGCACTTCGTTGAGAAGCATCAGACAGGTGTGTCCTATGCCCCCACCCCCCACCCATATACCTGCCTGCATCTGTGCAGACTCTCTGCCTTCTCTCTGCGATGGGTGAAGCCCCAGCTCCTGTCCAATATTTCCTCCCAGCAGATCTTGCTCTGCAAGGGTGGCCCGGCCACAGCCAGATGCCCCTGGAGGAACCCAGGCAACCTGTGAGACCACATCACATCTGCGAACATGCTGTGTTGTCATCTGGTTTGAGTAAAGCTGCACCTTCTCCTAATCTTTGCTACCAAAGTAACTTATCGCCTTGAAGTCTATCTGCTGGTGACTTTTCATTAAGCACAGCACTGTGTGGTGGCACCTACTATGTGCCAGGCACAGTTTGAGGCACTGGGGACAAATTGGTGAGCAAGACGGAACCTGCTGCCTAGGTGGGTGACACAGAATAAACAACGCTCATCACCCGCTCTCAGCTTAACGACCATCCCTTAGAGGGCCCTCCCCGAGGTTCTCCAGCAGAGCACCTTGTTCCTCTGTGGCTCTTGCCACGGTGTAGAGCTGCAGTCACCAGCGCACCTGTTGGCACTGCACTCGCCTGCACTCAGCGAGGACGGAAACCAAGACTCTTGGTCGCCGGTGTCCAGCTAGGGCTGCCACAGTGCTTGGCACAGAATGGCCCTCAGAAAGAACCTGCCTGAATAATCACTCAATTTATTACTTTTAAAAAAGTGCCTCACGCACGAATGAGCAACTCAATGAAAGAACGAATGAACAAAAGAACCCTGGGCAAGTTGTTTAATTTCCCTGGGTTTCAGGTTCTTAGAGACGTGGAACAAAATCATGTCTCTGCAGCATGTTTGTAAAGAATAAAAAGGATAGTAGTTATAAAAATATACCATATGGTTGGCACATAAAAAACTACTCGATACACATTGAAATACCTCAACTCAACAAATACTTGCTGAACATTTACTTTGTACAAAACACAATTTTGGGACTGTTTAGAGGCAATGTCGGTAGCAGCTAAAGAGAGTGATAAGCTTCTTCTAATAACAGAAGAAACACACAGGTCTGGGCTTTTTTTTTTATTATTATTTTCTTTGCCTCTCTGGTTAATCTAAGCTCAGTCTTTTAAAAAAGCTATTCTGTCAATAGAATAGTGGATTAAACACACTCAGGCCTGGGCCAAATCCATTACTACCTGTGTGACCTTAGGCAAAAACCAATCAACTTCTCTGAACCTCAGCTTCCTGGTCTACAACATGAGAGCTGCTGTGAGAATTAAACAAGATCCCAGGCATGAGGCGCCCCGGCCCAAGCAAAGCCGGAGCCGACCTGCGCGGGCTCCATGCCCCCAGGAGCTCGGGGACCAGCCGTCCGCCCACCCCTCCTTCTCCAGCGAGGGCTGAGCCGCCTCCATTGTCACCACAGTCCAGGAACCGACAAAAATCGCAGAAGACGTTCCTTCCTCAAATCCGCCCGAAAGAGGCAGGCTGTAAACGAGCAAGCCAAGGAGATGCTCTTCGTCAAAAACAAATCCTCGAGACAAAGCAAAGTGACGGCTCTGAGGGATCTTGAAAGGAGGTGACAATCAAGTCACCTAATGGCATATTTAGAACCCCAGCTAAACCTCACGTAAGAAATACAAACAGGATAAACGATTTGCTAGAGAAAAATGCTATTTTTAGTGGAGAGTATCACAGATTTCCATGCATACTAAGCCCCTGGCATTCTGAGTGACATTTTCTTTCTGGGAGCTCCTAAGCATGACTATAAGTCAAGATGGAAAAGTAATTGACAATGATAGGATTAAAAAAAAAAAAGACCGGGTTCCTAAAACTATTGTCCAACCACAATGCTGAAAACAGAATCAGCGTTCAATAAATATGGAATGCCTGGATGAGGAGGGAGGGTGGGAAGCCGGCAGAGAGGAAGAGAGCCATGAACTTGGCCCCCGGGCTGAGCACTCCCAGGCCACGCTTGATAATCACGTTAAACGCTCTTCAGGCAAAATAAGACAGGCTCCAAGGAGAAACAATATAAAACGCCAGAGATACTGAGTGATGTGTGGGAATGAAGTCTTTGTAAACATCAATCTCCCTGTTTCACTCAAGCACTAGGAACAGCAAATTTCAGCAGCTGTTTATAATTTCATATAATGTAAGAATAAAGGAAGCCTGGGCCTCTTCGACTCCACTACTTTTTGAATCAAAAACAAAGACTAATTATGCTGGTCGGAAGGTTATAGACTACCACCTACTTGCAAATTAAATATCCAGGTGTTGGTTACACAAACAGAATCATGTTCACTCTGCTTTTCATCTTCATGCTTTGTAAGAAAACTTTCAGCTAGAAAACCCTTTGATAACTACCTGCTTATACCACTTAATATAACAGGTGACATTTATGGGTCTCTCACCACTGCCTGCCACCACCACCACCCTCCACCAGATGGGGGCCAAATTTTAATTTGTCATCCCTGGCATTCTGATTAGGGAAGTAATCTAAAACAAAGCATTGCATCTGAATGGCTGCACAAAGCCTACTTAACCAAGCACCCAGAAATAGGTGAACGAGGCCTGATTCTTTGCTCAGCCCTGCCCTACAAGGCTCCAGGCCTGGCTCTTCACGAGGTGCTCAGAGGAAGGAGCACCCTTTCAAGTAGGAAGACAGTCCCTCCCCACCGAGAACACTCACTGAGCTCACAAGACTCAGCCACAACAGAGCTTTCTCTCGGGCCAGTAAGCAGTCACTCCCGAAAAGGACAGGCAGAGCTGTTCCTGGCTCTCTCTGGGATCCACCTCTATACACCACAGGACACTGTACTCTGGGTCAAGGGAGACAGGATCAGGCAGCTGCTCAATTTTGCTTCAAGTACTCCCATGTTCAGCACTGTCTTCGGTGCCCGAGAAAGACCCAAGGAAGTGCTAATAGTCCTGAACAGAAGTCTCTTCAGTGTCTGCTAATCTGCACGGGCTCAGAGGCAACTGTTGCCATGAGGATGTTTTAGTGGTGGTTATGGTCTTCCCCTTTGAGAGATGGGGAATCTGAGGCTCAGGGAATTTTTGTAAGATACAATGTGCCCAAGACTAAATGGTGAGAAAGCTGAAGTCCTGTTCTTCACTCACCAGAGGTGTAACTATGAATAATCCTCTTAAAACCTAGCCGAGCCTCAGATTCTGCGGCCTTCAAACACTAAGAATGAGATGCATTACCAAAGAGCACTGCTGTGAGGACCAGATTAAATAAGGTGTGTGGAAAAGACTGCACATTTTTAAATGACACAAATATTAACGTAAGGTATTATATACAAAAATGAGGCACTGTAGTTTATCAGTATCATGATGACTCCAAATCCATAGAAATTCTTCCCCAGTGGGCGGTGAGCTATGCATCTCGAGTCTAGAACCAGAAAGTTTTCCTGTAAATGGAATCCAGCGTGAGGGGTTTCCATGTGGCCTCCTTATTAATAATCAGCAGTCTAACAAGAAAGCCAAGAAGCTAAAAATAAAAATAATCAGATATAAACAAGTAAGAATCTGATCTGGAAGAAATGAAGCCCCGCTTTGAATGATATCAACCTCTGATTGTATTAAAGTAATCCATAATTACATTCCTAGCTGCTTGAAAGAAGATAACATCACCCTAGTCCTCAAACTGTCTTTCAGTTTTCAAATACAATGTCTGGTACATAATGAAAAATATCCAGGCACATGAGGAGACAAAATAAGATCAAAAACTAAGAGAAACAACAGATAAAAGACACAGAATGGGGGTACAGATGAAAGTTTTCAGACAGAGACTGTAAAATAATTATGCTTAATGTGTTATCTGTTGAAAGGGAAGGAAAGGCCACGCTGATGAACCGCATCTAGCGATGGTCAGCCATCAGGCTGTGCCCCACGTACCTGACAGCAGAAATCTCGGCCAATGGAGCACCCTGATGAGGAGGCTGGACCCCGGAGCAGACGGCCTGCTTTGAAACCTCACTCCATCATTTACTAGCGAGTGCCCCTGGGCACATTACTTAATCTCTCTCAAGTCCTCACCCCTAAGGTGGTAAGAACATCAATACCTACTAATACTTCACAGGGTTGTTAAGGGGATTACACGCGTTAGTTTTGGGAAGTTTTTAAATGGTGCCTGGCACTACGTTCTGTTGCACGTAGGCAGCACAACGTCAGTGTTCATTAAATAAATGAAACCAATTCAGCAAACAGCCGCATCACATGGTCTGGCTTCTCTCCAGCTGCTTGTTTTCTGTGTGCGACACCCCAATTCATACCTCAGCCACACTCAGCTACTCATGACTCACCAAATGTGTCACGCTTATTTCTCACCTTTGCACCTGCCCTTTCTTCCCTCCGTCTGAAAGCCTTTCCTTGATCAATGCCCTGGGAAAGCTCCTACACAAGCTTCAGAAATTAGTTAAATGTCACCTCCTCTGGGAAGCATTTCTGATTACCCTTCAGCAGTAATTACTTCCTCTTCTGTGCTAAGCCAGCCCCAATCTTCCCCTTAGCATGGTGCTCACCAAACTTCACGGTCACTTCTGTTTATGTGTCTCCCTTCCCGGCTAGATCAGCCTTCAAGCAGGAAGGATGTCTTACCACACATCTCTTTTCCTAGATGCCAAGCACTGTGTTCAGTGCACAGGGGCTGTTCTATTAGACCACTCAGGGACAGATGAATAAATGGCTGAACGAACGAGTGAGATGCACTCAGTGTCCGTTCTCATGCCATAGTGGTTAAAACACTGGTCACGTCCACGAAGTGGAACGGGATTCAGAATTCTTACTCTTCCAAGGCTTGCAGCATGCTCCCAGCGTCCTCGGAGGACAGAATGTCTACCATCTGGTCGTTAAGGGAAAGGTCCTCATTCACGCCATCCGCCGAGGTGGACAGCAAGGGCTCCACCTTGCTCTCGCGAAGTCCGACCTTCAGGAAAATTGCAGAAACAACAACTGAGTGTGTGTTCTTGTGAATGCCTCGTGCCGGGAAAGTCAGGAGGCGAGGCAGGGGAGCCTCAGTCAGAGAAGCTGACCGGCCCCACCACAGGTGACTAGATGAACTCAGAAGAACCAACGCACTTCCCTGAGCCTCCATTTTCTCACCAAAGAAATGGGTTTATAATTCCAGTAGCTCTGCACAGGGATGTTGCGTGGATAAAATGAAGCGATGGATGAATACAGGCCTTTTCGACCTGTAAAGACCTATTAAAACATTTCACTATCTTAATCACCACTGTCATCATCATCAAGCAGGGGAATACTCCCAGGTGTGGTGGGCCTCAACATCACGGATCTGGCTGGCTGCTAGTCAGAGCACAGAAAGTGAGCTGGACTGTGAGCTGGAAGTGACAATCGAGATAATCATGCCCAACCCTCTGATTGGATAGCCAATATATCTCTTTTGTTCCCCAATATCATTAACTCTGCAGCAGTGGGTGACAGCTGCAGCTAACATATAAGAATTCCTGTCCCACGGCCAGGCATTGTTCTGGGTGCTCTCTACACACTGTGCTGTGAAACTGTCACAGAGACAAAATAAGTGTCGGTGCCCCCACTGCACGAAGCGGGAGTCTGTGCTCGGAGAGGTGTGCAGTGACGTTACTGCAGGGCACACAGCCCACAAAGAGCAGGCTGGTGTCTGACCCCGATCCAAGCCCGCCTGCCGGTTTACAGCGCGTTGTCTTATTGGTCACCATGCCGGCAAAAATAAAGAAAAGAAAGGTTCATTCTGTGATGCTAGGAGAAAAATACTGCCAGGGTCTTCAGGCCTTAAATCAAATTCACACTCTGCTTCCCTCTGCACAGCTGTGAGGATCTGCCTTAATCTCTGGGAAACGAATCCTGCTCTCCCATCAAAGCAGCAGGGTGCGTTCCGTTCCTCTGATGGATGACAGCTTCCAGGGAATAAGCACAAGGTCTGATTAGATGGGCCGTTTCTCTTCTCCCACCTCTGCCTGTTAAGGAGCTTGTGGGCTGACCTCATTTCAAATGACAATCCTCGCCTCCAGGAAACCGGAACAAAGTGAACGATGGCCCCTCACCCAGGCTAGGGCGGGACTTCAGGCTCCAGAGACAGGGAGTCCTGGAAGCCAGGCCCCAGCCTATGCCTGGCCACTTTAAGCAAGTTGTTTGACTTCACGGACCTCAGTTTTTCTCCATATAAATAAGGTGAGGGAGGAAGATGATAGAAGTTCCTTCTGAGGTGTTGGACCTCTGGGTGACACCGAGTCACAGCAGTGCCCATTGCACCTTGTGCTCTGCCATGTCCCCTTGCCCTCACCACCGCAGTGCCCACCAGTCCAAGATCCACCAGCCAACACCCATGCGCCTTCCCTGAGGGTGTCTGCTGGCCTCCAGATGCCACGTCAGGGACATAATGCCACCTTCCTGCCTCCTGCCTCCTTGTCCTCAGCCATAACCAAAGGGATCCCAGCCCCTTCACGCCTCGGGTGTGATGACTCCACGGCTAGTTCTGTGCTGTCTCCAGAGCTCCTGGGCAGGACTAAGCTCCGGGGCCCATGTGGTCCTGGTGAGATCTCACCCTCTGCCCGCTGCTGTCCCTTCCTGCCTCATCCCCCACCCCCGTGCCTCCCTGGGGTCACTCCCCACATAAACTACTTGCAGCTGCATCCTGGTCTTAGGAGGAGCTTCTGTGGCAGCCCAGACAGGGATGCGGGATCGGGGAGCTCACAGTCAGGCTGACGGATCTGACAAGTGCTGGGTGCAGTCACGTGCAGGCCCAGAGAAAGGCACCCTGCTCTACCTGGAAGTGGCCTGAAATGACCTCCAGGGAAAGGTGATGCCAGGTTGCGGCTTAAAGGTTGGGTAGGAAGTGTCCTAATTGAGGAGGGAAGAGACGGCTGGGAAAGCACACGGCTGTGAGCACGCAGAGTTCGCACTCATAGGGAAAACGAGTCACTTGGCGTGGCAGGAGGATGGGGTGTGAAGTGGGAAGTGGCAGGAAGGGGGTGGAAGCCAGTCCTGGGGGCGTCATAAGCCAGGCACAGGGGTCTAGGCTCCCCCAGAGCTGCTCCGCAGAAATACGAAGCTGTCCACACAGGTGGGGCTAGACTGCGGGATTCTCACGCCCGGCGACTGGCTAGAGTCCCCAGGGAGCTTTTACAAATGACTAATGGTGGGGACACATCCCAAGACGTGCAAATCCAAGCTGGGCCTGGGCACGAGTATCTGCCCACAGCTCCCGGGGTGCCGGCAGAGCTCCAGAGGTGAGACCCCCTGTGCTGGAGGGTGCACGTCCACCTCGTGTCTCCCCCTGGCCCACTCCCCTGGGGGCAGACTCACCTGCTGCCTGGTGAGCACGCTTCCCGTCAGACACCGACACCGCCCAGTGAAGAAGAGCACGAGCCAGGCCAGCAGGAGGGAGGACAGGAAGGCAGCCACGAACCCCGCCGCGTGGACGCCGTGGTGCGGCAGAACCTGCGGGCATAGACAAGGCAGTGGACGCTTCATGTCGCCCGAGTCACGCAGGGGGCCAAGAGCCGGGAGAACCAGCCGGAGCCGGGGGACCAAGCTGCCTGCCCCTGAGCCGTTGCCGCGAGGCCCTCGCTGCTCCCTCGGACCGGGGTTTCCGCAGCGGTAAGCAGGACGAGCGAGTGTGTCAAGGAGCTGACACGTGGCTCGCACACGGCAGGGCCACCCAGCCCCGGGCACGGCTCACACAGGCATTTAAGAATGCTCAGTTCCCACATCTAGTATGTGACTGCTAAGGCACCACTGGCAGTCGGCGACACTTCCTGAGAGTTGGGCAGAATTCTGCAGAGGCCGGAGGGAGAATCCCGCTCACCTTCCCCCAACACTCTTGCAACTTTAAATCAAGTCATTAAACCTCAGTGTTTATGGCATTAAGTTTAGAGGCTATTTCTTGTCTTCTTACGGAGAAAAATGGTGAGACTGGTGCGCCACACTGGCCTCCACCCTCCTTCCCCACTTCTGCCTTCCAGCAGGTATTAGTTCTCGATGTACGTGTTTTGTTCTGCAACCACATTCAGTCTTTGTGACGTTTATAGGTTATTTCAAAAACGAAAAATTTAAAAAGACGACATCATTATGGTGATTAGGCAAACACTATTCACTGCAGAATATAGTAACAGAACGCGATCCTGCGACACTGACTACCTGGGCCTCAAAGGAGGATGCTCCTCACGCAAGCCTCCTTCTCAGGCTTCAGCAAGGGTTCTCAATTACGCTGCATGTTTAGTTTGCTTCGATTTGGACCAACATTTCCTCTTGTAACTTTTTGCTTTTCCTGAGGTTTCTCACTGCCTTTCTTTTCCTTCCTGGTATATGCCCATATCCTTAACGCTACTGTCTGTTACAGAAGGTCAAATCCGTTTTCTCTCGAAGTCATTATTCCCAGAGTTCTCTGACTTCCCGATTTGACGGGGACTGGTGACGTCCTAGGCCTGCTGCACGGCTGCCGCACCGTCTTCCTTCCCTGACTTCTATCCTATCTTCTTATAGCATTACTGACTGAAGAAAAACTGTACCTCTTGGACCACATTTCTTTCTTTTCAATGAGTATCCTCAGTATCTATTTATTCTGAAGTACATTTGTTTAGAAAAGATGTTCTTTTCTTACATGTCTGAAAATGTGACTTTGCCCCCATTTTGATCGATAGCTTGGCTGAGTACATAACTCAAGGTCCAAAACCTCTTTACCTCAGAATGCTGATGGTCCCACTCTGCCTTGTGACGTAAGTGTACCTGAGGACGTTCTAGAAGGATCTGTTTTTGCCTTCTGGGTGCTTTTAAGTTCTCCCCCTCTCCCCTGTAGTTCTGAATACCTAACTATTTAAAAGATGTTGAATGTATTTTTAATGATATAAAAAAGGGTTTATACCCTAATGTAACTTTGTAGAAAAGATACAAAACTATATACACAGTATAATTTCAATTTCACTAAGATAAAAATAATAGGGATGCATACATATACATGTGTAAACTGCGAAGAAAATCCTCCAGAATTTTGTTTGAATGTGATTACTTGATGAGGTTTTTCATCTTTTTTATATTTCTTTGTTTTCTAAGATCTCTATAATGGGCATGTATTACTTGTAGAGTAGGAGACAAGATATCATAAAAATTTTAAGTCAAGTTTGGTAGACGAGGATCACCTGGATCCTCCTTAAAAGAAGGACTTGGTGCCTAACCATGGGCCGTGTGGTCGGGCGGCAGACTCTGACCTCAAGGTCTGAACCAGCTGCAGAGAGCCAGCTCGCCTGAGGTCGCGCCCTCCAAGACAGCCTCGGTGGGCTGGCAGAGCTTACAGGGGTGTAATGCCAGCCACTTTTCGCCGGCAAGGCAACTCTTGCCCCAGAGCAACCCCCCAGGCTGGCTGAGGCTCCATCAGCCTGGATCACACCTCGACTCCCTCCTCTGTGCAATCCTGCTTCCCCCTTCCTCCTTTCCTAGAGGGTCACTGACTGTGCCAACGGTCCCCAAGACCACCTGCAGGCTCGACGATTCACTATGAGGACTCACACGACTCAGCACGTAGTCCTGCTCACAGCCATGACTTACCATGACAAAACAATACAAAGCAAAATCAGAAACGGGAAGAGATGAATGGGATAAAGCCCAAGGAAGACCAGGCACAAGCCACCAGGAGAGCCACCTAAGACGTGCTTAATTCCCCCAGCAAGGAACTGGGACAACTCACATGAAATGCAGTCGCCCAGGGAAGCTCATTAGGAACTCAGTGTCCAGGGTTTTTACTTAGGGCTGATCACTTAGGCACCCTCTGCTTGTACCAAAATCCCAAAGCCCAAAGACAGCAAGTATTCAACAGGAACTACATTGTTTGTAAAGCAGTTCCAGCACAGAGAGCCGCTCTGCTCAGATTTTGGAAGGTGGCACTCCTCCTGAAACCCAAGTTCTCAGACGCCAGCCAAGGACCAATCTCACAGGTAGGACTTCCTGAGGACAGAAGTCTTGGGCTGGATGTGTTAACTTTTTCCTACACACTGGGAAGAAGCATATTATACCCCAAGCTCTGCCTCAGCATCTGTGTCCAGAAAAGACAACCTGTGACAAATTTAATCCAAAATGGCTAAAGCCCGTGGGACTATCAAATGTGCTGTTTAGGAGCTAGAAGACAACTGGCCTGTTCCTTATCCCCAAGACCACAGTATAGCTGTCGTCAAGGTTAAATTATTTTTGGCAGACCAACCAGGCCAACCTGACCCCCCAGACTGCCAAAGCTAAGTCGAGTTGGAACAGGAGCTTTGGTCCCAGTGTTTACTGGAACCTGCATCAAAGTGTGACGCCGCACATGACTCCCCACGGTCAGTCAGCCTGTCCACAGAGGCTGTTATCAGAGATTGCCAGGGAGCCAACTGTTTTCATACTATAGCATCCTCCTGATCCTAAATCTTGAATTTTGATTGGCACTAAAATGAAATCCGAGTTCTCCATGTGTGCTGCTCCCTGAGCCCTGACTGTATGTCTGCTGGACAAGAAAAACATCAATAAACTGGATAAATATGGATAGCACTGCGATGAGGTTATGATGGAAAAGAGACGAAACGATCTTGTCTCTGAAGAGAACAAAGGAGCTAACGACAAGCAATCTGCTCTCAAGCTGTCTCTCTCAAAGAAGGCAGCAACTTGTTTTTACTGCTTCAGGAAGAGGGATGGAGAGGTAAAGGGAATTCACAATTTTACTCACCTACGATGTGCCAGTCTTTGGACTAGGCACCTGCAGCAACCCGAATCGTGCTCCCCCAAGATATGTTGAACTCCTAACCCCGGGCACCTACGAATGTGACCTTATCTGGAAATTAGGTCTTCGTAGAGGCAATCAAGATGAGGTCACACTGGATTAGGGTGAGTCCTAAATCAGTGCTTTAGATGCTTTATCTCATTCAACCTTCTGTAGTCCCATGGGGCAGGTACTATCCCCATTCTACTGACAGACACATGGAAGTGCAAAGAGATTAAATAATTGATCCCAATCCACAGATAAAAAACAACAGAGGGAGCTCTGCTGGACTCCAACACCGGTGTTCTCCCCACTGGAGCACACGACTTACTGTCCTGGGGGATGTGTGGTTCTTTTGGTCCCAACCTCCTCCACCACAGTAAAAGTTATTTGTCTGATGGATGAGAACCGGAAACAAAGACTGGGGCAGAATCCTATGTGGGCCGGGCCACCCTACTGCAACAGGCAGGAACAGAACTCTTGAGCACTCTCTCTCCTTTCTCTCCCTGCCTCCTTCCCTCCCACTTCACAAAGTGGAATTGGACAACTGAGTCAGGCTGCCTCACTTCTCTTCTTCCCACTTCCCCTTCTCTATATTCACATCTCAACACTTACTCTCCTCGAGTGAGGGAGCCTGAGCAGGAGAGGCGCCGTGGGCAGTCCAGTGGAGCAGCATTGAGCTCAGTGCCTGGCGCAGCGGCCCAGCTGTAGGAACGGACGCTTGGGTCTAGGAAGAGGGCAGAGCCAGCACGAGCTCTGCAGATCCTACCGTCCTCACCCTTCCTTCAACTCCTATTGTCTGACACCAGGTGATTAGCAAACCTAGGCAGAGCCTACCTCCTTGGGGCAAGCCCACTCATGACTCTAACTTTCTTCATTTATCTGTGTTGCTAAATTATGCAAGGCCTTCCCTGTCCACAACGGGCTGCTCCTAATCTTCAACGTTCTTCCTTCAAGACGATGGCTAAAGAAGAGTAAGACTGTCATATGCGGTTTTACGGGAAGGAGGAGGCGTCACATAATCAATACCATCCCATCATCTTTACCGTCATCATCACTGGCATCATCACTGTCACCACCGTCATTATCACACCATCGACATCACCATCACCACCGTCATTATCACACCACCATCACCATCACCACCGTCACACCACCATCAACATCACCATCACCACCATCACTATCACACCATCACCATCACCATCACCACCGTCATTATCACACCATCAACATCACCATCACCACCGTCATTATCACACCATCAACATCACCATCACCACCATCACTATCACAACATCAACATCACCATCACCACTGTCATTATCACACCACCATCACCATCACCACCGTCATTATCACACCCTCACCATCACCACCGTCATTATCACACCATCAATATCACCATCACCATCGTCACCATCACCATTATCATTATTATCATTATCAACCATCAACATCACCATCCTCAGCATCACCATCACTACCGTCATTATCACACTATCAACATCACCATCACCACCCTCATTAGCAACATCACCAGTATCACCATCACCCTCACTGTCACCATCTTGAGCAGCAGCACCACCACCACTGTAGCGAACGTATACTGAGCAGACACCAAGTGCCAGGGATGGTTCAAAGTGGTTTACAGGTATTAATCCATTTAGTTCCCACAACAGTGCTGTGAGGTGGACACCATTTTAATCTGCATTTT